TTCGTTTGACATATTGTTGCACATGTATGTGTGATTATATATTATGTTTCAGAATGCTTTGTGAAACGAGTAAGACGAGACCGTTGCAGACTTGCAATTTCATATCATATGTGTAAAACGCAGTGCAAAACGAGACAACTATGACTAAGTTGCAAAGTTTTTTTTGGCTAAAAATACCAATGACAAAGTATACATATTTTTATTACTAGTTCTAAACGGAACAATATATAAAGTATACATATTTATTNTGTGTATATTATATGTTAATCTTATAAACTATTGAAAATAAAACATTAGAAGTAAACTATTTTAAGTAACATTGTAATACAAATATAACAACATATAGAACTACTATAACAATAAAAAGTAGCACATTTTGCCGCAATTTGCCAGTATCTTTATCCGATTTTTTGTCTGCTTCTTGTACTTCTTCAAATGAATTGGTTGAATTGTCCTTTGTATAATATGTTCCGTTGGTGACTGTGTTTATGTAATCGCGTCCTTTGCAAACAATCAAGAACGGACACTATTCAAACCACTTTGCGTGTTGCTCCCAGGGAACATCCTTCGGATTCCAATCTCTCAATCCTCCTTCGCAATAGTAGCACAACGTCTGATCATCTTTCCCCGTGTAATAAAATCCTGCATTTGCTAAATCTTGTTTTGTTTGTTTTAATGATTTTGGCCATACTTCAAATGTATTACTTCTCGCTTCATAAGTGTCAAGTCGTGGATATTTCGGTTTCAATATTGTTTTTTTTAACATTCCAATGTCCTCNGTAACATCATCCAAACTGGAAACGGACATAAAACACGTAGATTTCTCGTTTACTTTTTTCGGAATTGTGTTAGAATCCACATCGGCTACGTTGTCACAGGATAAGTTTTCAACAAATCGGCATTGCCTAGACCACCGTCGATGATCAGCCATTGGATTGTCATTTGTTTNCCATTTGCATATTTCAAGTTTACAGTCAAAACATTTCACCTTATCTTCTTCACTCATGTAATAGAATCCAGCTTCAGCCAGTTGTTCCGGCTTTATCCATGGGCATGACCAATCTTTAAAACTGGCTAATCGAACCGATTCGAATCTATAGTCTTCTTGACAGTTCTCCGGAATACACTATGTAGCCATTTTGATATAAAATATAAAATTCTTTTTCTCTGCAAAACTGATGGGTAGACACAAACTACGAGCTCTTAAATACTATTGTCCCCACCGTTTTCTTTTAATTGGACAAAAGATAGCCTCTTCTTCATTGAACTTGTGATTAATTAGCACAAAAACGAATAATGACACGCAAGTGATATTATGCATATTGTAATTTGATATTTTCGAACAGCACGTGTGTACAAAAAATGACTAATAACACGCAAGTGATAGTATTATATTACACATATTGTAATTTTATATTTTCGGACAGCACGTGTTTTTAGTGCATCATCGCGTTGCATATGTCAGCACGATTCTCTTTTTTCCTTATAGCACAGTATTGTTAAGACAAGACATGAAGGAATAAATTTCTCATTTATGTAATATATGTAATATATTTATTTATTTA